TTTTTTTATAATTCTCTAAGATTCGATTTTTGTGTACTTTTTCTTTTTTAAATTTCCTGGTAGCTACCATTTCCACATCATTTTCCTACCCACAGAAGCACTTCAACCAATTCTTAAAATGCATATTCTATACCCACAGTGCTACGCCTTTTCAAACAAGATATGCATTTTCTCATCTCTCTTTATGGAAAAAGTTTGGATATTTGAGGTATATAGCTTTCAGTTTCATAAATGGTGTCCACTACTATTGTCCTTAAACAATTTTTAAAATTCTCTGTAAACATATATGCTAACTTTCCCCATACTCACAAATAAGTGAGTTTCACAAATAGGACTTTCTTTTTTTTTTTTTTTACAAATTGACTGCCCTTATGTTATTTTAATAATTTATAAACATATATACTACTTCTCTCCATGCATACACATACGGCCCCATACAAATACGTATAAGTCACAAAAAGAATTTTTCAGATTATTTTGACAGGATGTTACTTAATTAAATACTTTACATCTGTATCATCTTTTAGCACAATTCAAAGAACTTCTCATCTTTAAAGATGACACGAAGCGAACTGGAAGAAAACCTAAATTTTCACACTAATTCTTACTTTACTTCAAATTATATAACAAAATAGGCAACCACTTACTTCAAAATATATTTGGCTCTATCAATTGTTTGGGCTTTAGCTTTTATTAAATGTGGATGATTATTATAAGTTTCATTCTTCCACTGGCCATATAAACGATACCTTAAAAAGATAAAGAATCATAATGAACATAATATTGCATACAAAACCTGAAATGTAAAAATAAATTTAAAAGCAGAAAAAATACATATTTTGATATTTACCTATACTGATACGGAAATGTTTTGAACATTCCCCAAAGTTCTTCAGACATACAAGCATTGCAGTCCATCAAAGTAAGAGATGGAAGAAGGACCTGGTCAGTAATACTAAGCAAACAACTAAATAAAATTTCCTAGGAAGGGAAAAATTAATTTAGACACATTTAATATGTGGAAATAAAGAAACTATTATTCTTTAAAATATCAGTAAAAGCTTGACTATATACAGTTGCCCATGACTACTTAAGGAAGCTAAGATTGATAGATGGCTTGAACTCTGAAGTTCTAAACTACAGCAAGCTGAATCAATCAGGGGAATGAGGTTGGAAACAAAACATGTCAAAGTTTCTATTTCAATCAGTAATGAAACTAGACCTATTAGTAACTATTGTACAACCAGCCTCAATAAGACAGGGACAGCCAATCTCCCCCACAAAAAATATGCACACACAGGCACACACA